TATTTATATTTATATTTTTGTAATTTAATCCAATTTATTTATTTATTAATTAATAATAATATTCTTCTTCTTTTAATAGAAATGTGGTTCGCACATAGTGCGTTAGTTTCTAACGAATATACAAATGTCAATTCTCATTCACAAGTAATGTTTATTGTTGATATAGTGTCCGAAAAACATGATTGGATTCTTGTGGCTCGCAAAAACAAGGTAAAATTTATTTCACAATATCTTATTGTTTTTCTATTTTCATTAATATAATTAATTTTTCATTATAGGCCACACTTCCAAGATTCATGATAATATTTGATAAAAGTCTTTAATTATTATCATTTTTCTGGATTATCATTTTTCTGGAGCGCATCTTCGCTTTCGACATGACGAATAAATAAGAAAGCTTTGACTCGACTCTGTCAAAGCAATTGTGTAAATGTGTGATAATTCGATTATCATTTTTTTTTATCAAACATTCCAAATTATGCAAAAGTACAATTTGTACTTTAGCATTCGTGGTTTCTTTTTTCTTTAAAAAAAAAAAAAAAAATCAAAATCGAATATATAATCGAATACATATTCGAATACGTACCTAATCAAATACATAATCAAATACATATTCGAATACATAAATCAAATACATATTCGAATAAATATTCGAATACATGAGAGGACACACAACTACAAAAAAAAAAAAAAATCAAAATATTATTCGTAAACAGTCAAGCAATAATATGAAACATGTAACGACATTATTCATATTTCATTGCTTCAAGAAAAAAGGTAATAATCCTTTTTCCGTGGAAGAACCGGCGCTCCTTAATAAGTACAAAAAAAGGAATTTTCTTAAAAAAATTTGTACATAATGTATTTTTTAATTATATACGTATTATATATAATTATATATTATATTTATTATTAATTATATTAATTATAAAAACCTCATATAAAAAAGTATGGTACCAGTTGAAGTTTTAATCAACTTTAACTGTTGTTTCTTCGTAACTATGAATTAAAAGAATGTGATTCTAAGAATTTTTATTTATGCGTAGAATTTACACCTAAGGAGTTCACAATCGATTCATTCGATTCAAAAAACTTCTTGTATGTATGTCTTTTTTTTTTTTTTAAATAAGATAGAAATTAAGAAGTGATGATACATACTGTATCGGTATGCACTTAAAAAAAGATTGTTTGAACCGGCATATCATTACCGAATGCTGCAAAATTGATTATATAGAAACATTAAGACTTTTGCAAATAAAAAAAAAATCCCTTAATTTAATATGATCAAGTTGCTCATTAACGTTAACTGTTAACAGTTAAGAATATACGTACGTACGTACAGTACATGTATAAAGTGCTAAAACTTCTATCTAAACATTAATAAATCGTTATTTCAGTATTTGAACTCTATGTCTATGTCTATGTTCATTGGCGCTGAACAAAGGTATAACAAAGGTATGTATGTATATACAATATATAGTTATCGTTTTAATAAGCGATAGGATTATCAAGCATAATCATGTGTTTAAAAGGATCATACCGATACTGTACGTATAAGTATCGATTCGGTATTTAACGATCATATGAATGTTTTTTTGAGATTGTTTCATATAAACAATTATTAAAATTATTAAAAATAAGGTTCTAAAAAAATTTTATGAATTTTTTCTTGAATTTATGGTTTCTCTTAGACTTTATATACAATCTTCTGAAAAAAAAAACTTTAGTAATTTGAAGGGTTGAATTTGTGCAAAGCAATAAATAAAACAAATAATTTTCTATTACTGTATTAACAGTTAAATAAGTAGGTGGCCCTTTACACCTACGTACGTACGTACGTACGTACATACATTATGTACTTACGTACGTACATGTATTCTGTATTCACTGGAAAATGAATAACCGCATAGAAATAAACCGCATAGAATCATGTCGTTGTTGGATTGAATCATGTCGTTGTTGGATTTATTGTATGTGCGTATGTACAGTACGTGCATACTTGCGTACTAATTTTAAATAACGTGATTTAGAAGGTAAATTTGAAGTTTCTTAAAAACCCCTTTGTACATTATTGTATTATTGAAATACAAGTATTGTTATTCTTTCAAATGTTATGTGCTTTTGCCCAACCACTAAACTTAACCTTTGATGAATAAACCGAGTAATCATAGAATAACTACTGGTGCGTGCCTTGATACGTATAAGGACATAAACGTTAAATAAGCACTGTTCAAGTCTTAATATGCACTTAATTAGTAAATGCATGCATATGCAAAATATTGACAAGCTGCAGAAATTTTTCATTCTTAAAATTTTTGACATTTTCCCGGTACGTAGAAATTTTATATATCTATATTATGTTTATGTTTAGTAATATACCTTATATTACTAACAAGTCTCCTATTTTTGGACAATTACCAAAAGTTTTCACAATAAGTATTTATTTGTTACTAAATTAAAAGAAGAAGAATATTATTATTAATTAATAAATAAATAAATTGGATTAAATTACAAAAATATAAATATAAATA